ACCGGCGGTATTGGCCGCCGGAAAACCGCCGCAAAAATAAATCGCCGGTAAAAAGCCGTCGGAAATAGTTTCCTACGCCATTTTTTCTGACGGTTTACAAACCGCCGTTAGACCACCGGTACCATTAAAAACCGCCGGTAAATCTAGCCTAACCGCCGAAAAAAGCCGCCGGTTTTCAGCGTTTTTCCTGTAGTGTTTGTCCCTGGATATTGTTAATATCACTATTGAAACTGAACCTAGTTTTAATATTCAATGTTTATTTAATGAGTTGAATTTGATCGGTCACTCAGAGGCTTTTAATTTTATACTATTAGAGAGATCAAATATTTGATGAACATTATGAATGTTCAGAATTCCTTCATCCATAAGGAGGCCAATGCCTGTGTTAATTGGTTAGCTCGGTTTGGTGCTGGGAAGGATATTTTTATTGATTTTGTGGAAAGCAATGCTCCTGCTGCTCTTAAAGGTCATACTAATTTGGATAAAAACACTTTTCATTATGTTAGAATTTATTGTATGTGCAGGCTGTTTCCTATTCAGTTCAGGTTCTTTAGCAAGGATGGTTACTTTGGTTGGTCTATTTGGTTGCTTTTCTTTCTGTTAATGTTGGGTTCCTGGTTTTTGTGTGGTTTTAGTATTATTGGTCTTCTTATTTAGTGGGGTTGCCTAGTGGTGACTGTCCTCCTGCAGTTTCTGGGTTTGCATGAGGTTGTTTGTTGTGGGTTCTTTGACTTATCTGTTAGATGGAGGGGGTTAGTGTTTCAGCGTAATCTGTTGGACTGCTGCTCTTGGTTTCCCCATCTGCATGTTTCTTTACTTTATTTGAATTCTTTGGGTGATAGTTTTGACTGGTGTTGGAACTTGCTGGAGCATTAGTGGGTTGTTAAGTGGAATTGTTTGGGTAACTCTTTGGTTGGGTTTTTTGGTTTTGAAATTCCTGGTTTCTCTGATCTTTGGGTGTGGCTTTTTCTGGGTTTAAAGGGGGACATATTGGTTCATTTTACTTTCTTTGCAGGGGTTGGTGCTGTTCATATTCATTATTTAGTTGTGGTTGGTTATCCTTTTCCTGTTGTTATCTCTGGGCATTCTGTGTTCTCTGATTTGGGCTTTTGGGTGTTTGTGTATTGTTGGGTAAACTGGGTTGGGTGTGCTATCAAGGTCTATATTAGCTGGAGGATTTGGCTTCTTATCTAGGTTTTATTCTCTATTTCTCTCTGCCTGGTTAGGGTGGAGCAGTGGTGCTGGTGGTGGCAAATTTTCCTATTCTCTGCTAGCTCGATCTCTATTGTTGTTTTACTACCCGATCACTGTTGTTATTAACTTTTTGAATTGGTTTATTGGGAATGGTTTTTGGTTCTATATTCTTTTACTTGGCTATAAGCTTGTTACTTGTTTTAACCGTCATGGTAGTAGATGTTTTCTTTCCTTTAATTTGATTCCTGTGTATTGTGGTTTTGCTGGTGAGATTTTTGGATGTTCTGTTCTTTGGCTGTGCATTGAGGTGGTTCTTTGTTTCTCTGGTGTGATGGGGGTGGCTCTTTCTAGATTTAGTGGCTCATGGTGATTTTTGGTGTGCTAGGAGGTTATATCTGGGTTGGCTGTACTATTATTTTTTGGTTTAACATATTCATGATTTTTTGCAGGAAGTTTTTTTACTGGATTCATTGGTGGAACTTTCTTCTCCAGGGTAGGTGTCCTTTTTTTATATTATTTTCTGGTTGTTTTTTTTTTTTTTTTTTTTTTTTTTTTTTTTTTTTTTTTTTTTTGTTGGATCTGTTTTGTGCATATTATTGCTCTATTCAGTTTTGGATCAGGGAGCTTTTGTTCAGAGCTTTTGTGAATTGCCTCCCCAATTTTTAGGTGTTCTTTCTTGAGCACCGCAGAATTTATCTAGGTACTTTTGTATTTTGGCTTAGCAGGGATCTTGAGCTCTTAGATTTTTTTGGTTTTTTGCTTGTAGCTTGCTTAAGTAGTAGCAGAGCTCGAGATCCCTTTAAGGACCTTGTGATTTTTAATTTTATTAACGCGTAGGTCCCTTCGTGGGTTTCCCAAAAAAAAAAATAATAATAATAATTTGTTAAATTTTTAAAAATTATATATCTCAGAAATACTTATAATTTACTAGTTAATTTAATAAATGAAAATAAAATTATTATAGAATGTCCACCATAATACATTACTTTTAAAATATATAGTTCCAATTATGTTAATAGTCTGATTAAATATTAATTTTATTTACACTTAAAAAAATATAAAAATAACAATTTGGGCCACGGTTTTTGTAGTTATACTTTCTTAGCGATAATATGATCATTTTTATATACCTTGAAATTTTATTTATCATTTGGGGAACAATTACATATGCAAAACTTAAATTTTAACAATTTAAAAATTTTTCACTCTTTTATTTCCATAATTATTTCTAATTATAAATATATTTTAGCCACCTAACATACTTTTAAGAAAATTAACTGAAGATTAAACAAAACAGTGTGTTAAAATAACAATTTTTTTACCCATAAACAGAATTGCCAATATAAATTAGCTTCCAATTTTAATAGTGATCCTTTTTGGTTACATAGATTATAAAATATATTAATATTATTGCCGGACTTTTTTTTTTTTTTTGAAAATATTCTGAGCCAAATTTTCAAATGAAAACGAAATAAACGAAAGAACTCTAGCTTTCACTAGCTCAATTCCTCTATATAAAGCCCACCACCTGCTGCCTTTGTTCTCACATTCATTCACAAGTCTTTAGCTCTTCTTGCCCACCCCTGTCACTAATTTCTTGATTACCAACCGGGAGGTTTCTTCTTACTCTCGATCACAGTCTTCTTCTCTCTCTCTCCAACAAGTTTTAAGATGGTTTCCGAGCACACTCTAGCCTTTGCAGTCGGCATTCTTGGTATCTTCTTCTTCTTACTTCTCTCTCTCTCTCTCTCTCTCTCAAGCATGCACAAACAGTTTTCCATTATTTTCTTATTTCTTTCTATCGTAAAGAAGTGGTTTTCAACCTGAAAGTTCATGCGTCAGTTGCATGCTCTGGAGGAGGGTGACGTTCACCTATCTCCTCTGAAATAAAGTACCCAAAAAATAATACATTTTAATTAAAATCACTACAGTAACTGACATAAATTTTATTTCCAGCAATCATATATCTTAATTTTTTAATTATGATGCCCAAAATAGATCAAAAAAAGCTTTCATGTTGCTCGCTTGATCATACTAATGATCAATATATACAAACAGGAGGTGATTAATTAATTGATAAAAATCAAATATACTTATTTAGTAAAATATTAAAAAAAATTATTATCTTCAATTTATATAAATTAAATAATTATTTATATATAAATATTACAGGTTGAGTAAATTTGAGCAAACTTTCTTACCAAACCAATAATTTTTTTGTTCTAATTAAGCGTTTAGAAGGAAAGCATATTCTTCTTTTTCCACTTCATTTCTATTTGCAGAATTCACTGTCTCTATTGTCAACAACTTCTTGATCAGGAAGCTCTAATACATAACATAATAGAAATGCTTAATTAGTAATTGTTTAACCCAATACTTCACTTACTAATTACTTCTTAATTGTGGTACTTCTCAGGCAACCTCATTTCCTTCTTGGTCTTCCTTTCCCCCGTGTAAGCATCTCATGAACTACCTCACTTATTTCTGGATTAATTAATTTTGTAATTAGTGTTAATTAACATAACTAATCTGTATGTCCAGGCCTACATTTTATCGAGTGTATAAAAAAAAATCCACAGAAGGATTTCACTCTTTGCCTTATGTAATAGCTCTCTTCAGCTGCATGCTATGGGTCTTCTACGCTCTGGTGAAGACCAACGCTCTTCTGCTCATCACCATCAACTCCTTCGGTCTCCTCATCGAATCTGTATACATAGTTATCTATCTTATTTATGCTCCATCAAAAGCTAAGGTAATTAATTAATTACTTAATATAATTAGCATTCTGGATTAGGGATTAAAAGTTTTAATTATGATAGAAATGCACTGTTCGGATGGTCATCTTCCTCAACGTTATTGTTTTCGGGCTGATTCTGGCGGTCACTCTCTCGGCTTTTCATGGACACAAGCGCTTGATTGTACTTGGGTGTATCTGTGTTACCTTCTCTGTGAGCGTCTTTGTTGCTCCTCTAAGCGTTATGGTAATTAAGAAATTATTATTGTAATTAATGATGGTTTTGTACTGAGTGTTAAGATATATAAAATTATATTATTGCTTAATTTTGCCTGCAGAGGTTGGTCATCCGCACAAAAAGCGTGGAGTTCATGCCATTCAACTTGTCTCTCTTCCTAACAATCAGCGCGGCTGTTTGGCTGAGCTACGGTGTGTTGTCGAAGGACAAATACGTTGCGGTACTGAATTTTTTTTTATTCAGATGATAATTCTTTTCAGTATTAACATACTTCACTTCGTTTACAGCTTTCAAAAATAATTTTTTAGTACAAATTTTTTTATAAAAAATTGCTTCATAAAGCAGTAAGAAAGCCGTACCAAACGATACGCTGATTTGGGAAATTCGGCTATTATAATTATTTTCCTTTCCTTGGTATTTTGCAGGAATGAACTTCAACTATAAGATATGTTAAAATTGTTGAAATTCATTTTAAATTAATAATAAATATGAAGAATTTTCTTTCCACTAATCTTAAAGAAAATCTGAATAAAATTTAGTTCAACCTAACTAATAATTTACGGAGTATCTTAAGCAAATTTTTTTTCTATTAATACTATTTTGATTATCTGCACAAAATGCCATAATTGTAACGAAATGCTAACAAACAATAATGATTAAATCAAATTGCCCTTAAATTTGATTGCTTCTACAGAGGCATTGAACTGACGTCTATATGAATTGTAGCCATTTAGATGTTGGAAGATTTCGATAAAAGAATAATGCTATTTATCAAATAAATCTATATTTGAAACTGAGTGGATATATAACATCTATCAGAAATACGATCAAATTTAAATTCATAATTAATTTTATTTAAGAGTATATGAATTATTATTATTATACAAATTAACTAAATGAACTATATAAAATAAAGATAATTAGCACCTAATTAAGAAAAGTTTATATTAATGACTTTTTCTGTTATTTGTAGTTGCCAAACATTCTTGGACTGTTGTTCGGTATTGTACAAATGGTGCTCTACTGCATCTACAAGGATGCCAAGCCGGATCTTGCTGATACATCAAAGAACGCAGTGGCGGTGACTGAAATAATACTTGCGGACTCTCAGGACGTGAAAGTTGAAGGGGTGATTGAGCAAATTGTGTGAGAGCTATGAGTCTAGAGAGAGAAAATCTTATAAATATGATATTTATATGATATTTGTGCAAGTTTGATATATATATGCATACATGTTTTGCTTATACTAAGAGAGAGAGAGAGAGAGAGAGAGAGAGAGAGAGAGAGAGAGAGAGAGAGAGAGAGAGAGATGAGAATTAAAATGGCTGTATAAGTAGATGGAGTCAAGTGTATCGCAGCAATGCCTTGTATTTTGTTTTTCTAATATTGAGAGGTTATTTAGCCTGTTTGAAGGTTTTACAGATTTTTTTTCTCTTCTGGTGATCGAATGGGTTAGAAATCTCATGAGAATATTAATTTTTAGAAAAAAATTATATAATGTATTTCTCATCAACAGATATTTATTCAAATGTTTTGTTAGTGATAGAGAATTTAAATTGAAAAATGCAACTTTTTATATGAAAATGCTAAAAATTAGACTTATAATGTGAAATTAATATTGGTAAGGAAGAATTATATGAGGAATTCTTAAGAAATAACATATTGAGAAGCTCCAAAAAAAAAAGAAAAAAAATGAAAAGAAAATATTATCTTTCTCTTTTTATTTTTACTTAGCCAAATTAGTATAGTTGTTTTGCAGTAGCTTTGTGATTCCAGGAGACAGAAAAAAACAAAAACACAAAGAAAAAAAAAACTTTTAATGTTTGACTCATGTGAAAGGTGAGTTGGTAGCTCTGATTTTATTAAAAATTCTGCTAATTGGCGGCTGTTAACCGAGAAATATGCTAATTAATTAGTTAGTCAATCATCTTGAGGTGATGAATTTCAATTTTTTTTTATTTGGGATCTCTTTGAAATCACGTTTTTTTTAATTTTTATATAATTATTTCATTTTAAAAGATTTTCAGTTTTCTTTTTATTATTTTAAAAGCAAAATTATTTTTTAAATAACTAAAAAATTAAGTATTTTGAATCTTTCTAAAATTAGCTATTGTCACACTGTGCTGCTACTCCGCAACCATAAGGGCATCTCAAACTAAACGGTAAAGTCTCTATGCAGCTGGAAAAATTATTCTGTGCGGAATGCAGATCCCATTGAAAATGCGCCACATCCTGTACCGAAGCTTATACCGAGCAGTATCGAGTACTGCTCAGCACCTAAGCTTAAACCAGACGGTTCTCCCATTCACTATCCGCACAGAATAATCTCTCATGCTGTGAGCTTGCTGTTGACCTCATTTTTGTATGAGGTCACTAAGGCCC